GAGAAGACCTGCTTGTTGATTTTGTCCTTTAAGATGATGCCGAGGGAGACTTCAAAGAGTTTGGTATCAAACAAAAACCAACCTTTACACATCAAGGAGCTTTGTATTTCACTGTCAGCCTTCAAAAGATATATAGATGAGACAGATTGTCCTAAGGACCTTATATATGCGCAAGAGAACTTTCAATATGGAAAGTGCCTAGGCTGGATCAAAGTCAGAGTCAGTAGAGCAAAGAAAGAAGAACTGTAAAGGAATGAATGTATTGAATGACAATTTGACAAAGCAGCTTCTGTAGATATCCAACACTATTATACAAACACAACAAAACAAATGCTGACACAATTCAAAAGGCATTGAAAAAAGGTCATTACATAGATCACGTACGCTGGCGGAATGCATTAATGGATTTCATGACACTGCTCTTATGAGTGGGACAACTAGAAAAATGCTTTTAATGGGGAGAAGATTAGTGAGACTATGGGCAGAGATGAGTTGGCTGAAAGGGGTATCCATTAAGGAAATGGAAAAAGATAGAGAGCTCGAAGTTATGCGGGTGTGGTTTTTACGCGTTTTTGTGGCGTTTTTCTTAGATTTTGTCATGTTTTGAAAGAATTTCCACGGTTGCGGTTTAGATATGTTCTTGTGCTCCTGCTTCCCAAACAAACCAACTTTTTTTAAAACAACCTCTGGATGCGACTCTACCCTTCCTTGCCCATAAGCATTCTCATTGTTTCAAAGGTAGCACTTTTTGGGCTTCTCCATCCACATTCTTTATGAAATGGAGAGAAGATCATTATCTTGAAACACAATGTGCCCACCAGGCCCAACAAAAGTTGAGAAACTTGCTTAGTAGTACTGGACCTGGGTGACTGATTGGACTGGGCTTTGAATGGCCTTCATGACGCCCATACCCAGAATAAGCCTCTTCCTCATTCTCAGGGTCATAGGGAACCATTCTGAGAGCATTGGGAGTTCACATCCTATCCCACAAGTTCGATTAGACCAATCCTGCTCATCTCCACTGCTCTCACCCAATGGCTCTTCAGGTCTATGCTTCATATCCCCCCATCTACGACGAAATCTTCCAAAGAACCTTATGAAGCCCATGGAACGATCCAGCCATAGATACACTAAGGGTCTGAATTGGCTGTGTGGCCACTACTCATTCCCAAGCTCATGAAGAACCTTCTCTTCACCCCAACCTTCTTGCCCACACATAGACATACATGAAGTCAGATTGTACCAAACCTGGCATGCTCAGCACGCCCCCAATGTTCACCCAACATTGCCAAGGACATTCTTTCTCGTGATGCCACCCAAGCTCAAAACCTCATTGGACCTCACCAACACCCACCCAAAAGTAAAGCGATAAGTTGTGCCAAAAATATGCTCTACCAATAGCATGAATCATGAGGATCAACCAATGTTGTACCCAAATGGTTCTGATCTTCCATTGGGCCACCTAACCATGCACACAAACCCATTTGCACCAGGCATTCCATGGACCCCATCCCCATCATTGATTGCCTAGCAAGTTTCCCTCTCACATGGTGCCCATGTGCTCTTGGAGGCCAAACAAGCCCAATCGAAGCACCATCCATATTGCGCTGCTGTCTGGGGCATTTGCTCAATGGCTTGTATAGCAATACAATTTGCTCAAAGTCAGGATCCCAATCTCTCATGCCCAGGTGTTGCGTCTACGCAGCCGCCTTTGGTCTCAAATGAAATTGCATACATACAGCCACAACCCCAATGCCAGCTGCTTGATGCACCCAATGCTTCATCTCATCTGATCTCATCTCATTTCATCCACATTGGAAGTTCCATTTTCCTATGCTCTCTAGCTATATGCCCATCTCTCTCTCTCTCTTTCATTGGATATCTTAAGCCATCAAATCAAGACACTCTTCCACACTCCACCATTGAGACCATCCAGTATAGGTATTCACCCTCACCACATAGAGCCTGAGTCCCCCATTCCTTCTCCATTTTCTGATATGCAATGATCCAATTGGCATGGCTCTGTTGCTGGAGATTGAGGATTCATTGAGATTGGAGGTCTTGGAGACTAGATTCCCCTCACCTGATGATGTATGATGTGATGTCGTGGACTTGCTGATAGATGATGGTTGATGGACTTCTGCGTGGGAATCATGAGAGCTAGTATGTTTGCAAAAGCTTGATGAGAGACCTGACAGATTACAAGTTAACATTTTTGCTAGACACGTTCTTCAAAACAACCAACATGTTCAAAAAAACACAGAAAACCACAAACCACAAAAACGCGTAAAAACCACACCCGCATAACTTCGTTTTCTGGAAAGATATTACGTACATATTGAGTTTAACGTGTCAAACATTAAATTACAGATATGACCCACCCAAAAGAGACCATCGAATCAAGACCGTTTGCAATGATTTAAAACAACCATATCTATTCCTTAATCCACGACCTGAAGACATTGCAACAGAATCAAGAAGTAAACAAACCCAGAGTAAAAAGCTCCCATTGATGACTACATCAATGAGCAGGAAAAACACACTAAATACAACATGATTGATGACATAAATGACATTTTTAAAATTGAACTACCCAAGGATTGTCAGGTCAGGAGATATTACTTTTGGTGACAAGAGACAATGGCCTAACTATTATGTTGATCTGTCATAAAGTGTTTATGAAATAGGTATTAAATACCAAGTCCCACAAAGTCAAACATACAATCAAAACACAGAAGCTAGCTATACAGAACTTCAGTTGAGGGTTGCATTACAGTTGAGGATGAAAACAACTTAGCAAGGTATAGCTTCAAGAGATAGGTATCAATTCAGACATTGATGTTTAATGTTAAATCTGCTGTGGAATGATAAGTTATGATATATCCATCTGAAAAGATCCGCAGTGCAATGACTAAAAATCATAATACCAGAGCATTTACACCCATTCATCAACATCTATAAAACAATGGAATTTTGTCAGTTTGATACATGGAAGTTATATATTGAACAACCGCGTGCAATTCTATCAAGGATGAGACTGGAGGAGAGCATAGCAAAATCAAGCAAAATAGAAGTGAGCCAGGGTTGACAATCCCTGTCCTATCAACATACACGATCCTACCTGACTCCATGCTTTGATCATCGACCCCCTGTAATCTGATGTGCTTCCCTCCTTAAAGGGTAGGAGTGGATCAGCGTGTTTACTTGAATAGATTTCTCAAGAAAAGACTACGGTAAGCTGGACTAGAAAAAACTATCCAGGTGGGGCAAGGTTACATTTAGCAGAATGGCTATGACTATGACAGAATACTGGCTTGAGGAACTAGAGAGCCGCAACTAAGTTACGCAATTTGGGTCCTACACTAAGTTGAGTAAGTGGCCTGATTTGGAAATCTTGAGCGTCGAATTTTTAGGTTGAGACTGGAAACAGTTTTTACCTCCAAGCATCTCAACCCTGAGATCTCTCCATCAAGCGTGATCTGGAACATCGCACAAGCAGAATCCGCATGCACCTTCTATTCCTCCCCTCCGACCAAAACCTTAGTCTCCATTCAACCCATGTCAGGGGTTCTTTCAGGGATGAAACAGGAGAAGAGCCTAGGAAAGTCAAGCGGCATGCGGTCGAATCGAAGAGGTAGATGGAATGGACAAGAGGCTTTGTACCACACGGAGGGTTGTGCAAAGGACACCAAGATAGATCAGAAGTGACAGAAGTGAGCAGAGACATAGACAGAACATAGTTTGTTCAATTGACATTTTAGTCTGGATATATGCCGTACAACACCTCAAAGTGGACAAGTGCCCCGCAAGCTTCAGAGGCCCAAGGAAAAACTGCGGGATAAGGCAGTGAAGCAAGAACACAACCACTCAATGTGTTTTGTTTCCTGTTTTACACTTTGGATGCTCATGAATATGCCTAACCTGGCTTGCGTGTCTTTTGCTTTTTCTTTTTCAGGCACTCCAATCAAACAGAGAGTATGAAGAAAATATGAGAACCCAATGTCTGTGTGTGGATTTCTTTCCGTGTAAAGCCAGTGGACCAGCGATTTGGGAGGTGTGGACTTCGTTGAGGAGAAATGCAACAAAAATGGTAGGACATAGCAGGCCAAATCCTGCATTCACATGGGTTGCAGTAGTTTTTGGTCCCTGCTCGTCCTGTGAAGGCAGCAAAACAAACACCAAAGAGAATGTGAATACAATATGCAGCAAGATTGAACATACAATAGAATTTGACAATCTTTTTGTCAGAAAAAGGGGGCTTGACAAAATGATAAAAGGGAAAGCGCGCATTGACAAGTTGTTTCCGCTCTCTAGTGGGTTGGTCTTTTCACTTTATCGTTGTCCATTCGTTTTGTCACTGTAAGAGGCTGTAAGAGGGGTTGTGCAATGAAGTGTGAGTAGGAAGGATGGCAAGGGGAAATCAAGACAAAGAGTAAAAGCAAATCATTGCTGAAAAATGCAACGCGTGACATGGAGAAGGATGCCGAATGGAGCAGGTCTTGCCTGAACAGGAAATTAACATAATTTTCCTTGAAGGAAAAGATACCAAGGTATTAATTACTTTAGAACCACTTTGCTGTAGACAAATCTTTTCTGCGTCAATGTATTGTTAAGGTGTTGCTGTCGCACTATCCTTCCACGTCCATACCTCTATGCGTTTGCTACGTGTGGTGTGGAGTGAGATGGTGTGGAGAGAATAGGTGAGTTGAACCTATGATCGAGCCATTATTCATTGCTGATTCTTGGCAAAGCAGTAGATGGCACACTCCCAACAGGTGGTTTATATGAACCCTCCATATAACAAACATTTTTTGTGTTTGTACCTTTCACTCTGGAACCACTGAGACAGAGCGAATCGGTGTGGATCGGCTGTTTAGAGGAACGACAAAATAGACCCACAAGGTCCCCTGCACATATATATATAGAGAAATGTTATGCGTACTGCCTTGTACAGTATGTTCGTGCAGCGCTGCTTTCTTTCTGGGTTCTGAGGCTGCTACTTTGGCTTTTGGCGATGTGGTCTCCTTGGCAAACATCTCCAAGATCGAGAGAAAATGTGTCGCAAGCTCAGGCTGAAGGAAGCTCAGGCTCCAACTTCAGCCAAGGCACTGCTTCTTACCTCTCAAGGGCTTCACATTAGTTTCGTCAGCTTCTGTCAAAACTACCTACAGGTGTTCGCAGGATTCAAGACGTCCCTGCATGTCAAAACGACTGCCACATTTCTTGTTCCTTATTGAATTTCTATATGTGGAAACCAGAAGGCTCTCCTTTAGGCTACACCCAGGGTTTTCTCTTGTTTTCGTCTTGTGATGTCACTTCGGCGCATTGAGAGTTCAAGACGTCCGCCCCATCTCATTGTGCTGCCACTTTGCTCCTTTTCCAGACTTGTGACTTGTCCATGAAAAAGCGACTGGCCCTTTTCGTTGGTGTGGTCAAACCAATCACGTTGCCCCTTGCCTTTTCTTCCACCACTCCTTCCATTTGAATCATCTCGCTGACTGCGTTGAGCATGTCATAGCATGTCGGCAATGAAAGGAGACTCGTCTTCGTGAGCCGTTCTCACTTCCCCACACGTGCAACCTGACTCTGAACATGTCATGTTGCTTTGTGCGCACAAAGTGGCGTGCCTCTGTTTTGTTGGCATGGCAAATTTGAAAGCTACATTGTCTTCACTCAAAAAGCACTTCACACACGTCATGGAGTCTCAAGGTTGTCAGCTCTTAACAGTGGTCCTCGTTCTTAAATCTCCAGCTGAAAAATGATTACGTGATGACAAGGATGCCTTTGAGTGAGAGGCAGGATCTTCATTGTCGCCGGAAGCAAGTGAAATAAGGACCTTTGGCAGGTTAGCAATTGCTGTAGCAAACATCGGACCTTATAAATTGCACGGCGGAACCAAGTAAATGGCCTGTGAAACAAGCCTGCAGCTAAGGCGTTCGTGTTATTTTGTGTTGTTGAGATTCGATATGTGAAACTGTCGCCGCGTGGTGATGCTGGTGATGCTATTGGGTAGCGCTGAATTATCGAGTTGGCGAATGTTCATGCTCAAGGATTGTTCCAAGTGAAGCCAGTTGGAAAAATAAAATGTAAAAAGCTCCGTAGTAGGAGATGATCAACCAAAGGGAACGGCAACAAGAAGGAAATGAATAACAAAGACCTCTAACAGCTGCCAACCATGCCAAACAGCCACCGGCACGCATTCAAATCAAATCTATGTGAGTTATGCGGGGAAATACATACTATCTTGTCCTAAACTGAGTACTCAGGCTTCAATACATCCAAAACCAAAGGTGACCAAAAGAGCAATGAAGGTTGCCAACTTGAAGAAAACTAGAGCTTCAGGGAAGGGAGGAGGCTCATTTTGGAACACACAAATGAACAAATTTGGAACGCACTGGTTTTGTCTGTTTGGGCTCATTTTGGAACACATAAATTGGCCCATCTTGGAACACATGCAGTATTACATCTGCAGGCTCCACGGCAGGTGTGTGGAGAAAGGAAGTCAGCTAAAATCGCATGCACAAATTTCCTCCAAAACGTGCCCCCGGGTGGTTCACCAATGGTGTGCACTGCTGGAATGGCATCTCCCTCCTCTAAATTTTGCCCTCGGGTGGGTCACGCAGGGTATGCACCGTGGGAATGGCACCTTCCTCGTCTAAATTTTGATCCTTGGTTGCTCACCGTTGGAATGGCACATGTGGTGTGTGTACAAGGTATGCGCCATGGGAATGGCATATTCCTCCTCTAAAGTTCACCCTCGGCTGGGTCAGAAAAGGTACGCAGCGTTGGATTGGCAGATTCCTCCTCTAAAGTTTACCCTCACGTAGCTCAGAAAGAGTTTGCATCGTTGGATTGGTACATTCCTCCTCTAAATTTTGCCCTCGGCTCACAAAAAGTATGCACCGTGGGAATGGCACCAGCCTCATCTAAATTTCAGCCTCGGCTGGATCACAAAAGGTATGCGTCGTTGAATTGGCACAATCCTCCTCCTCAGCTGGGTCACAAAAGGTATGCACCGTTGGATTGGCACGTTCCTCCTTTAAATTTTACCCTCAGGTGGCTCACAAAAGGTTTGCATCGTTGGAGGTACATTCCTCCTCTAAGTTTTACCCTCGGGTGGCTCACAAAAGGTATGCACCGTGGGATTGGCGCCTGCCTCATCCAAATTTCACCCTCGGCTGGGTCACAAAGGTATCAGGTATGCATCGTTGGATTGGCACATTCCTCCTCGGAATTTTACCCTCGGGTGCCTCACAAAAAGTATGCACCATGGGAGTGGCAGCAGCCCCATCTAAATTTCAGCCTCGGCTGGGTCACAAAAGGCATGCGCCGTTGAATTGGCACATTGGCTCACAAAAAGTTTGCATCGTTGGATTGGTGCGTTCCTCCTCTAAATTTTACCCCTGGGTGGCTCGCAAAAGGTATGCACCGTTGGAATGGCACCTGCCTAGTCTAAATTTTACCCTCGGGTGGCTCACAAAAGGCATGCGCCGTGGGAATGGCACCCGCCCTATCTACCAACGGCGCGAGGAATGCGCCAGTAGGATGAAGCTTCCATTTGTATGACGCATATTGTGAGCCACCCGAGGGCAAAATTTAGAAGAGGAATGTACCAATCCAACGGCACAAACCTTTTGGGAGCCACCCAAGGGTAAAATTTAGAGGAAGAATGCGCCAATCCAACGGTGCATACCCAGCCGAGGCTGAAATTGAAGGCACCTTCCTCATTTAACATTTTGCGCTCGCGCGGCGTACAAAAAAGTGCACGCCATTGATTGGAATGGCACCTTCGTCCTCTAAAGCATGTCCCCGGGTGGCTCACAAAAGAAAGTCCCCTTCTCGGGTGGGTCACAATTATGCACTGTTTGAACGGTACCTTCATCCTTTAAATTTCACCCTCCACTGGCTCACAAAAGGTACGCGTTGTTGGATTGGCAAATTCCTCCTCTAAATTTCCTCGGGTGGCTCACAAAAAGGTATGCGGCTTGGGCCTGGCACCTTCATCCTCTGCGCCGTTGGAATTGGGCCTTTCTCCTCCACATTTTATCCTTGGGTAGGTCACAAAGGGTATACACCGTCGGAGTGGCATATTTCATATTCCTCCTCTAAATTTAACCCGCGCGTGGCCCACAAAAGGGGCGCTACGTTGTAGTGTCTCTATGTAGGTACGTCTGTTCCAATGTTAGGTTCGTCTGCGTCACCGGGTCTCCAACCAGGTCTCCATGTATGTGCGTCTGGTTGTACGTTGATATGTACGCATCTGTCTGACCATGGAAACATGTGGTGGCGCACAGTCTTCCATGTGACCAGATTTGTGGCGAGGGGTGTGATGGTACAGCTGCGGGAGGGGTGCGGGGGAGGGCGCAGCGCCTCCGCGCAGGGCGAGCGAAGCGAGCCCCTGTGAATGACTACGACTGTCACACATACGGCTGACCAGGGCAAGGTGTCTCCATGTATGCACGTATGTTCCTATGCGTGGGTCATGTATGTACATATGGCTGTATGTTGGCATGTACACATGTCTATGTCCATGGAATCAGGTGGCGGTGATCCATGTGACCACTGACCAAATGGCACCTGCCTCCTCTAAATTTTACCCTTGGGTGGTTCACAAAAAGGCGCGCGCCATTGGAATGGCACCTTCCTCCTCTGAAGTTCATCCCGTTGGAGCGACACGTTCCCCTTCTCAATGTTGCCCTCGGGTGGCTCACAAAAGGTATGCAGAAGAAAAACACTAGCAGAACTAAAGCGCCCAAAGAAAAAAACACCAGAAGAAAAAAGCCAACCATGGAAAAAAAGACACCCCCCAAAAAAAAGCACGAGAAGGAAAAACAACCCCCAGACAAACACAACCCAAAGAAAGAAACCAGCAGACGAGAAGAAAAAACACACACGAGCAGAAAAAAGCACCACAAGAAGAAAAACACCAGAAAAAAACACGAGAGGAAAAAACGCCACAAGACAAAAACACCAGAAAGAAAAACAAGCACCACAAGAATAACCACCAGAAGAAAAATAACACAAGAAAAAACACCAGAAGAAAAAACAAACACCACAAGAAAAAACACCAAAAAAAAAAAGCGCCACAAGAAAAAACAACCAGAAGAAAAAAAGACAGGAAGAAAAAGACACCAGAAGCACACAACAAAAGACGAGAGAGGAACCACCGCAAGGTCCGCGTTCCAAATTGAGACCGATTCCGCGTTCCAAATTGAGACCGATTCCGCGTTCCAAAACGAGGCCGTTCCCTTCAGGGAAAATGTTGCCTCCAATGCCCGCTTCTTGCGCTCCGGAGCAAGTTGCGCCTGCATCCCATTGACGACGTCGTTGCAGATGTTGAAACAATTTACCAAACCGCTTTTCAACGCTTTTGTACATTTCAAAACAGTCTTGGTTCAGATTGACTTTCTACAAGTACTGTCAAGGCCCCAAAGCGCAAACCCTGACTTCTCTCCCTGCAGGAAAAGACAAAATCCACATTCCAAGACAGGCCCGCTGAGCCTGATCGTGTCGAGGCATCACTCATCAGCCAAGACGACGTCGAGTGAACCAACTCGAATGAATCGAATTGGCCGTTCAAATGCTTGGATGACCGGCCGGGACCAGAGGGCCCTTCTGTGGGATGAAACAACTCGTTGCTGGTGAAGGCTTATTCACAAATGGTGCTCTCAGTAGCTTCTTTAAGTCAAGCCAGCGAAGCCCTTGAACCCAATCAACTACAAAGTTGCTCCGCAAGAAGAACAGTCAGGAGTCAAAACAGTCGACAATTGCATCAAACAGGAGAAACCAAGCACAGACAAAGCATTCAGCCCATTTTTCTTGGTGTGCGTGACGAGCTTTTGTGCCGAGCCAAACCTGGCAAATGCGGCAATAAAAGCAAACGCAAAAAAATGTCTTCAATTCAACCTGGCTTTGTACTGACTTCCCAGAATGCAAGTGCTAAGGCTTTCAAGTACCGGTGCCTCAGCAAGCCCCAGAGGTCTCTTGCGCTTGTTCCCAAGTCAGAGGTGCCCTGGACAGATGGTGCAACGTGCATAGGCACTTTGTCTGACGTCCACTCTCTTGCCCATTCTAGACTACGCATACCAAACTTGTTTCATTATGCCTGACTATGCGAGACTTTCTGCATGTTAGGCCAATACTAGTTCTTGTGTATTCGCTCGTTATTTTATCATTTTAGTGAAAAATTAACCTGCAGTAGCTCACGGCTTAGAGATTCTTGAATTGGTGCGTTCCACATGAAAGATGTGATAACCTGCAGCACGGTGCTTCGCAACGCAGCTCGCTCTCGATACATAGAGTTGCTGCCTGGATCGTCTCCAAATCACATTATTCATCTCATACAAGACTCATATGTCACATATTGTCATACATCCAGAGTTTGCACGTGCGTTTTCCTGACAAGATTGTCAATTTCTTCTCAGAAGGTAAAGGTTGAAATGGTTTCACATGTAAGCGATGGCCTGCTCGAACCTCTAGAAACGCTTTTTGCGCTGGTTCTAGGATTTGCTGCCAAAGAGCCTGGGTCAACTCATCAAGCGTTGTATCTGACGTGGCACAAAACGACATGCTGCAGCACTGCAGCATGAATAATACATTACATTGCTCCCAAAATCTTAGACTAGTTGCACCCACATTGCTTGTTCATTGTACAACAGAATGTCCAGAGACTCCAACCTGTAAGGCTCTAGCCAATTCAAATGGATAGCAGCTTGGAAGCAATGGCCCTCACATGCAAAAAGCTTGAACGTATTGAGACCCACACGAATGACAGAAAAGCATGAACGCGCGACATGCTTGCAGCATAGGAGTTCCTCAAGATCTGACTGACTACGGGGCATGAGGCTTGCTTTAGCTATTCCAGTTGATGTTGGATTTTGATTGACATTTTTCTCGCTTCGTTTCTGGGCTCACGAGTCGGCCTTTTTGACCTTGAAGATCAGCGGCAGCTGCACTGGTCCTCCGCGTTCTTCTCCAAAACGCGCTTTCAGAGCGCGGCTGGGCTCCCAGCGGTCATCACGGTGGTGAGCCTGTGCACGGCATGCCTGGCATCTGACCACATTGGCCTTTCGCCACAGCCTGTGGGTTGGATGCCACTCCTCATTGTAGCAACGACTTGCTGCCATGTCCTTCAACCTGTCCTTGGCGGAACGCCGCAATGCCCTTGCGCCACATAGCTGGCACACCAAGTAGCTGCCCGGTGCTGGAAATGGTGGCCCCAGCACCTTCAAGCGTGCCCTCCAGGATCTTGTGGGCAAGTTGACTTTTGGTGTCTTCAAGCTGACTGCCCTCAGACCGCTTGTTGCGCAAAGTCATTCTCTTGAGGCATAGCTTGCATTGTTGCGCTCGCCCCTTTCAAATCCATTGATGAGCACCTGGGTGAACGGCAAGTGGGAGAGCCGCATAAATGGCGCTCTTTTTCTGTTCTTGTGCTTGAGTGCGCAGGACCTTGCCCTTTTCTCTCTCCTGGTTCATGAAGTGCTCTTTGCTGTCCAAGAGGAATCGGATGCTGCGGTGCGGCCCTCTTGTATTTGGCATCTTGTTGTTTCAGGATTTCTTCTTCTTCATGTGGCCGGAGGGAGTAGCATCATGGAACCGATTCTTCAGGGTCATAGTGCGCACGTTGATGCTCAGGGCCCTGATTTGCAATGGTGACCAGTTGTTGGAAATTGTGGCCATGTTTCCCATGTACCCAAGCTTCCCTAGCCTTTGTCAACATCACGTGGATCTTGACTTGGGTGCTCAGGTCGATGTAGTGCGCTGCCATTCGCAGCCCGTAGATTTGTAGAGCTCCTTCCCCAAGCCAGCATGTTGGACCAATGCCTTACTTGGAGCCTCGTGTCTAATTACTGGTAGCCGCAATCCCAATGGTGAAGACAGCCGCGCTGCTGACCTTGAACTCGTCTTGGAGTGCGCAACTACCCCAAGCTTGAACCGCAGCTCCACCAGTGGGGATCTCATATCTGGGAATCTCACATCTGGGAAGCTGTAAGGGGCCTTGCGTCCAAAACTTGAGGTTGATGCCATGGTCATCTCTTTGGTGCAAAATGGTGGCTGGTTGCCCACAGTGTGGGCGTTGAAGGTGCTTGTCTTCCTCATTGTCGGACATCTTGGTAAACAGGGCGCCCTGATGCCAAGTCAGCAGAGCCACATTGTTGCGGGAGTTGAGAGTCTTGGTCATTTGCTGCCAAGGCTTCCAGTCCAGTGTGTACTGAATTTCATTGAGCATCTGGCGTTTGTTGGCGCTCAAACCTCTCCCAGCGCTCCGCCCGCTTGAGTTCTTCTTGTAGGGTGAACCAATCATCATTCATGTTGAGGTGGAAATCTCTACTTCCATTGTGGCCAGGTTTGATCCATTCTCCATATAGCTGCTGCATTCCCACTGGTGTTCAAGTAAGAAGCAAATGAAGGCTGCCACAGGACCTTTAGCAACCTGCCAAGGATGTTTGGCTTGATCCAGCCCCTCACGGATGATGCGCCAAGCCCTTTCAAGGGATCGATGCAGGCCCTCCGGCCAGTTGCCGTAGAATCGCCTGTAGGTCTTGACTTGAGCCATGAAAGGTCCATAGTCCGGGTGGGTGCTGGTGGCTCCCATTCATGTCGTAGACAATAGTCATGATGCGGCGTAATCGCCCGGCTGTGCAGTCTACTCCAAGGTCGCGCATGACATCGTGGACTTTGGGTCCATCAGCAGCTAGCTTTTCCTGCAGCATGCGCTTGGCAGCGGTGTTGGAGACAACGAAACCTGCCTTTTTCTCGGAGATCTTCAGGTTGTCTTGTTCCAAGAGCGTCTTGATGCGCTCAAAGGCTGCTAGAGCGATTCTGACAGCATTGGCCGGATCTCTTTCAACTACGTCAAAGCTCAGATCGTCGATCCACAGGTCAATGTGAAGCTCTGAGCGCATTGCGCTGGCCGCCAAGGGTGCTTGGGGATCTCGAGCAAGAATCCCATTGTTGGTCCATACTTGTTCCGAAGCTTCACCTTCAGCTTCAAGAATCCGGCCCCCTAGCTACAGCTGCATGGCCAAAGCGGCATGAGTAGCAGGGTGGGAGGAGTCCAGCCACCTTTGGCAGAGCTTGTCAAGGCTGATCCTGTCATAGAAGTTGGACATGTCAAGGAGGACCGAGATGACTGTTTTCTTCGTGGCATTGTGGTGTTCCATCATGAAGGCCCGTTTGAGCGCCACCTGTAGACATTCAGTGCCTGGCACGGTGTTCCTCAAGCGGCACCACAAGCGATACATGGTTGCAACCAAGCCTATTAACCTCTCAATTTCCGCCGACCTGGGGAGAAGCGCAATCAAGGACGCAGCCCATTCCTAAGGAATTAATTAACTGCTCTTCAATCTGATGGAAGATCTGTACCAAGTCTTGCGTGCAAAGCTGATGCCAGTCGCGCGTCTCTTTTTAGCCTGAGGCTCCGAGTCCAGGTGTGGCGCACGCCCACTTGGGAACTCACAAGTCACATTCTTTGGCTATATTGCTGACGAGGGGATTGCCCAGACCTGCGCAATCTGTCGTTTCAGGCACTGGTCGAGGGAAAGACCCATCGTCTACAATCCAGTAGACTCCGCGGTACACAAAGACCGCAAAGAAATGCCCGTGTTGGTGCTCATTCCCTGAGTGGCAGAGCAGTCCGATGAGAGAGTACTGCTCCGTTTTGGTCATGTTGCCGTCCTCAGTGTAGGGCAGGTTGAAGATGGTGGGCACATTCAAAATCTGGTGACGCTTTCTTTGTCCATTTCCCATCTTTGAGCACATAGCGGCCAATGTGGCCTATCCAAAGGCCCCTTCCGTCAAGCACTTGACCCTTAGCAGTGTTGGCCCAGTCAGCTATGATCTGCGTAGAAGATGCGTAGGGAACGCCTGCCTCTTGTGAACTTGGCGCCGGTGATCCGCATGGTAGTAGCCCTTGATGAGCTGCTGTGAATCGGCCAAATGAGCCAACGCCATGAGGAAATGGGATGCATCATCTTGTACCGTGTCATCAAATTGCTGCCATAGAGTGCTAGAGAGGTGATGTTGACCACACCCTCGTCCTTGAGCACCGCCATGACAGCAGCACCAGCGCGGTTCCAAAGCTGTGGTCCTCCCATTAATAAAGCTGCCAGCCCATGCCCACAGCCTGAAAGGGGCATTTGCAAAGCAGCGGTTGCAAAAGTTGCCTGTGCGGCAGTGGAGGTTCTGGACCACATGGTCCAGAGGTGATTGAGTTTCAATTTCTGGCTCTTCTGCAAGATGTTCATCTGGTTCGGCTGGGGCTGGCTCCATTGATGCATCCATGTTACCTGCCCCACCACAAAATTTAGGAGCAGCAGTTGGCTGATCCTTCACTGCCACCAGAACATCATCTGCTGGCGCCCCAAAAACACAGGACCCTATGCCCTGTGCTTGCCCCTGTCCTGAGTCACAAGCCACAAGTCCATCCATCGGCGCGCAATCATCATTGTCCCCTAGATGACTTGCCATTGGTTGGATTGTGGCAACCCCTGCGTTCGCCATCTCTTGCTCTTTCATGGTTGTTACCCACACTTCCTTCTTTTTGCTGCGGTTTCCTCAATCTGTCGTGCAAAGTCAGTGGCCTGCTCGGCGGTGGCTTGTACACCCACTTTGGCCAAGACGGTCATGAGCTTCTCCGGAGCTAGAGTGAAA